TAAAGACAGTTGGTTGCACTGGATTTAACTTACTGCAGGGGTGGCAAAGTATAAGAGGATGAATACAAATCCAAACTACATTGAAATTGTATTGTATATATTTCCATTCTCCTTCCTTTAAATGATGCTGTTTCAAAGTACTGTAATTAAAGATTGAAGTGTTCAGGTGGTCCTGTTTCACCTCATTATCTCCTACAGGACGCATGGAGTGACAGCAAAGGCCGTGTGTCACTGGATAGCCAACAAGACTACGAGCTGATTGAAGCTAAACAGAAAGCTGATGGATTTTACTTGCTCTTCAAAAGACCTTTTAGTACCTGTGATCCCAGAGACTACGTCATAGAGGTAAGAAAAGAGATTATTATTGAGTTGTTCTTTTATTTCCTGTGTGTGTGTCTGTGTGCATCAGCCTCCCATATTTAACTTTGTAGTTGTTTAAAACCTTTCTCCTCTGACTTATCAGGAAGGAACCGTGCACGTCATCTATGGCTTGTTGGATCAACCACTTGCCTCTCTTGGAGATCTGAACCTATCCAGAATCCACATGGGGGTGCAGAGAGTGTTGATGCTTCGCCCTGACATGCCGTCTCCCACTCTGCCTCCAGAGGTGAAGACAATGGATGTTCTTGCTCCAAATGTCATCATACCAAACCAAGAAACTACCTACTGGTGCTACATCCAGAAGTTGCCTGATGACATGTCCAAGAACCACATTGTCATGGTATAAGGATATTTCAAATAATAAATACTTCGCATTTGGTCTTTTTTTTTTTTTATCAATACTTGAATGAATAAATATTTAAAAAACTGTTTGCTTTTTTACTATTTCCTCCAGTATGAGTCTGTGATAACTCCAGGTAACGAAGCCATCGTGCATCACATCGAAGTGTTTGAGTGTGCACCAGATCTGCGGGAGCTACCACAGTACAGCGGCTCCTGTGACGACAAGATGAAACCCAAAAAGCTCAACCTCTGCCGCCATGTGCTGGCTGCGTGGGCAATGGGGGCCGAGGTATGATGGCAAGTCATTTCCATAATGTGAATGGGACCTTTCCACAATAACATCCATGACAAATAATCCAAGACAAGCCAGGACACTCAAATGTCAATTAAAGGATGTGACAATTGGGTTAAATGTCATCAGTTAATAAAAAATGATTTAAATATGCAAACACCAAATATATAGAGCAGTATAACTGTAAATAGACCCCTGGTTTAATGTAAATACAGAACATCTAATTGAAACGGAGCACTGGGACGAACTTGGCTAAGTCCAGACCTTGCACCTATTTTAAGAGACAAACAAAAGCTCCCACGCGAGTAATATTAAAACTTGGAGCTGCAGGCTTTAATATTCTGTAAAGATGTTCCCACACACATCACTTCTATTAAGAGACAGTCTGTATGTGGGAAGCACACAAATATTTATAAACTTGCATACATGAAAAGAGAAAAATACACCCACAAAAAAACAGCAAATGAAAACCCTTCATGAATGCATCTAAATGAGACGTTTCAGAGGCGATACAAAAAAAAATGTCATATATATATATATATATATATATATAATGGGTCCTTAAAATTAGATTCATGTTTTTTCAACTAGTTTTGAAACGGTTTTTTTGTGCCACTGGCACAAAATTACTTTTTTTGTTTTTATTACCTTTACTGCAAAAATAGAAGACTAGAACTTGCAGAACCGCATGTTACATTTGAATAATCAGCTGGGAAGAATAATGCCATTCTTTTTTCTGTGCCCCAATAGTTTTTATCTCGCATGTTCTGTTGATATCTATTGTGGGATTAGTCGGTAATTACAATGGCTGTGGTGAAAAAATATGGAGATAATTCCTGAGTTTCTTCTGACAGATAAGACGTCCTGGCCAGAGTAAACTTTGTCTTGTACAACTTGAATAAACAAACAAAATGTTTATTTACAACCTTCTCAATAATCCATGAATTTTAATTATTTGGTTTTGGTGATGAGCGCTGAGTCTTTCAGGTTTGAAGGCCTCCTTGGCGTCACCCTAATTTTCAGCTTCCTCCACAGAGTCTCTATAAGATTGAAACTCCAAAATATTAATATGACTTCCTGTCTGAGGAAACATGTTGCTCAGGTTAAATATTGGCCTTAAAACTGATAATCTACAGTGTGGGGGGGAAAAAATTGGGATTAACTGCAGATTTTGTCCAAATGACAAACTTTCGACTCCACAGAAGTAGAGTACAAGGCCATAGGGTAACAAAGCAGCGGCTGAGTAAGTAAAGCAGCCCGCTCTCCACATAAAGCAAAGAGGACAGGGAACAGCGAGGCTGTCACCATATTTCTCTGTACCGCTTCCCACTGTATCGCAAGCAAGCCTGGCCCCTCTCCGATTGGATTATCTGCCAGCTAAACAAAAACAAGCAGGATGCCTTCTGTGAGCTGTGAAGACAAGATTAGGTTGGAAATATTCAGGCCTCTTTCATCACCTTCTTATAGTGTTGTTTTATCCTCCTAGGCAGTGCACTGAAAGAAGAGGGTATTGAAGCCTTGTAAAGCAGCTGAAAAAAAAGGGGGAGAACTAAATTATGGAGAACTGTCCTTTTGAAACAGTGGAAGAGCAAGTTTAAAATGTTTTTTTTTTTTTTTTTTAGAAAAATACACTTTACACGCCAGCATAGGATTTCAAATTGTTTGATAGGTTCAAAAACACAAGTAAAGTTATCTGATGTGCAACTTTTCTTTGCAGGGTAGCAAATTCTAATTTTTCTGTTACCTTTCAGATACTAGAGACTAATTTATTCATGTAAAACATTTAAAAAGTATTTTATTTTTAAGGGAAAATCTTGATTACTATAAAACATGAGTGTAATTCTAACACAGTTGGTAAATGAACTGTAAATTGTAAGTCGTCCAATTAGCCACTGCACTACGCAAACTCCTGCTGTGGTTTTTCTCATGAATCTTATATTTCATGTGTTCCCGTGCTTGCAGGCTTTTTACTATCCTCCCGATGCAGGCCTGGCCATAGGTGGACCTGGTTCCTCAAGGTTTCTTCGCCTGGAAGTCCATTACCACAACCCTCTCCTTATATCTGGTACACACATCAATACTTAACTGAACTGGATGTACTGCCAATGGCAGACATATTCTTCTAAGAAAAAATAGATCAGCTGATTTGACTTTTGCAAATATGTATCTGGATGTGAAGTATCTGTGTATTTCACATTAATATTCTCATGTTCCTTGATATGAATAATTTGAAACATGTTTCTGCTTTTATGAAAAGTCTAGCGGTTTTAATCAGAAGAGGTGTGGCTAAATGTAATATTACAGGTTGTACGTGCGCCAATGACAATCTGTTTTCTGCTGGTTTGTCATTCAGAATCATGAGAAGACATATGAGATGTGTACACAGCTTCTCTGTGCTTGCTCTGATGCTGAAAATAATTAACTTTGAATCTTCTTCCATCACAAACTGACTTTCTGGCCACCTTGTCAGGGCTGGTCAAGTGGCATCTCAATTAAAATTCATGACTTGCAAAATTTGCAGTAAGTTAAAAAATGTTAACTTACTATAAGATCAGACTTTTTTTTTTTTTACTTTTCTCATTTTTGTTTAAAAACAACAATTAGCAATTAGCATTTCCTTGTCATGTCCAAGCTATAAGTGCTTCCAAACACATAGAAGACCAGACAAAGTGTCTATTTGACACTTTCAGTCAATGATCACTGACAACTTAAATAGCAAAAGGCTGCTACAGAAAACAAAAAGGAAAAAAAAAAACATCTTCATTTTTACATTTTTCAAAGACTGGGAAGGTGCACAAATATTCTACCTGTGGAATATTTTTCAAGTATCACAGTTACCGCACATGAAACATTAATGAGTCTGTATTTTTAATGCAGGCAGGCATGATTCATCTGGGATACGACTGCATTACACTCACAACCTGAGGCGGTACGATGCAGGGATCATGGAGCTGGGCCTCGTTTACACTCCTGTCATGGCGATCCCTCCAAAGCAGCATACCTTCTATCTCACTGGGTATTGCACATCTAAGTGCACCCAGACTGTACGTACATAAAAGCTTCATCGCTTAGTGGTTCAAAAGCTGAGAAACTCAGCTTTGAGATTTATCGGTAACCTAAAAACTCTTTTTATTTGTCTGCCGGTTGTCTCTCTAGGCTTTGCCTCCGGGAGGTATCTATGTGTTTGCCTCCCAGCTGCACACCCACCTGGCTGGCCGTGGGGTCAGAACAGTTTTGGTGAGGGGAGGGAAAGAGCTGGACGTGGTACAGGAAGACCAACACTTCAGTACAGAGTACCAGGTGAAAGAAAGGACATCTCTAACCATGTCAATGCTAAAATGATGCACCTTCGCAATTTTTTTTTCTAAAACAAAAAGATTGGAAAATTAATTTAAAAAAAATCATACTTTAAATGATTTCAGAAATACTGTTTAAAAAATTTCAAGAGGAAAATCAAAACTCTTTTTCCCTATGAGAAAACTTTTTATCTTGTTTCATAAATATGATCATCCTTAATTTACAAATAAACAGTAAAAAGTTTATCAGAAGTTAAGAAGAAAGAAGTGTCCATGTTACAAACAGAAAGTGTTATGTGGGCAAACTAGGTGCCACATCACAGCTTTTCTCCATTATTATTCTAACAAATAAGAAAAGCTTAAAGATTTATTCATCATGTCGTCATTTAACCACTTTATCTTCCAGGAAACTGAAACAAAACAGAGTGCAGTCTATTACTCATTTTCTAATAAACTCTTGTTATGATGGCTTGTTTAATAAAAAAAAAACAATATAACGTAATTTAAGAAATAATATTAACACAATATATATTTTACTATACCAGCACTGAAAAGCCTTTTTAAGCAGTTATTCGTGGAAGTTACAAACTGCTACTGTGCTAACTTCCTGCAGCAGTTGGCTGTGCTAGAGTGCTAATGTGACTGTGTGCAAAAATCTGCTTCAGAGGAGACAGCTGCTATTTCAAAATCTCTGATTCAGAATAACAATAATAATAAAATGCTTCTTTTCTTGAACAGAGCCACTAATTTATCAGCCAACAGCTTGAGGTAGTTTGAAAATGCTGCCAAACTTCCTGCCGCATCTAGCTGTGCTACAAGGCTAATGACATCTTGATTGTAAACAGAAATACCAATAAGACACAGGTGGCACTTTTTTTTTTTTAATTTCTGTCCTACTAGAGTGTTAGCTAGCATTTCCACATTTTGACTTTTTGTGGTGGGTTTAGTGTGGCTTGTTTTCCATTTCCTCATCCACCAAAAGGGGGAGCTACAGTCACAACAGCCACCCACTTCCGGTATGGATGACAAAATAACTCATGTCATGGTTTAAGGACTCATAACACACTATAATTTTGAAGCTGCAACAACCTTATCTGTCAGCTCTAAAGTGAGAAACAGAGGCATTAATATGTTGAGTTACAGCCCAGACGCATGCTTTTTGCATGCTACATATTCTCGTCACCTGTTATGTGATAAAATCTCAATATGATCTAATGTGAAACCCATCTAAATGTATGTTGAGTGGCGTTAATTCAGAACCTGAGGCCTCGTTAGACATATGAGGGCCTTTGTAACAACGTTCTCCGCCAAGCTAACACATTTTCTAAAATTTGTCAGCATAAAAAGTCCTGGGGAGGGAAACGGCTGCCATTCCTCCTCTCTGTAATTAAAGTGTTTGTACAGAATGATGCAAATATACTATGCTGAATTGTATGGTTAACTCTGAAGAACAATAAATGCATCCTGTTTTAATTAATTGTCAATCATACCCAAACTGATTTTTAATGTGAAGCACAATTGATTTTTGACTCATGAATCCTTTTGTTCGGCTTAATTTGCTCTCTTCTTACATGCAGACAATCCGAGTTCTGAAGAAAATGATAAATATTTTACCAGTAAGTATAACATTTTGTGGATTTTTGAATAAAAAAATGTGTGTATATATTTCACATGTGAAAAACAATCTATCTATTTCAACTGCTTTCTTTTTTTTATTTCATTCTTAAGAATAGCAATTTACAACTCAGCTGGTTCAAGTTTATTCATATTTCCTTCCCGTTTGCTTGCACATCTAATTAGATAATCTTACCACTGTGTGAAGCATTTAATTGAATGTAAATAGAAGGAGGCTGTAAAATCTAAGATGTGATGGGGAAATTCCCAGAAGATTGACCAAAAAGCTCTGATACACAAAACACATTCCTTTTTGACCCCAAACTGGCTGCTGCTACTGCTTGTGTAATTATTGTTCTGTCCTGCAGGGCGACGTCCTTATTACAAAGTGTACTTACAACACAGAGGACAGGAGCAAGCCTACAGTGGTGAGAAGTTTCAGTCTTTAAACGAAAGCTTGTTTTAACACTGTGTCCCTTAGTTCCCCCTCTGATGTCCCTCACACTCATTATTTTGTTCTGCTCTTTTCTCCACAGGGAGGTTTTGGCATCATGGAGGAAATGTGCGTCAATTATATTCATTACTACCCTCGGACTCAACTGGAGCTCTGCAAGAGCCACGTTGACCCAGGGTACTTGCAGAAATATTTTAGCTTCATTAACAGGTACTGCAGAAAGACTCTTCAAATCGTTACGAATTTCTAAAACTTGGATGTCTTTTATGCCAATTTCAGTCAGAAATATTCAAATCAATCAGGAATTATATATTTGTTTTTTTATAATGCTGGTATGTTTATCAATCTCCTCTTTTATTTTCAGAGGAAAAACAAAACTAATATATTTTTATACAAAATGCATTCCAATGAATATTTTTCTCATACATATGAAGCTCAGACTATTTACACAGCTCTACTGTTTTTAATGAGAAACATAAAAATACTATAATAATTTTGACAAAATACATTTCAAGGAGTGCTTAATTATTAATATTAAAAACACTGAAATGGGTCAATGATTAGCAGGAACAATGAAAACGAGGAGAGCCGGGGTTGAAACAATTTCAGCTTTCTAAAATCTACTGTAAAATATTTTTTCCACTTTAAGTCAATATTTTACAATTATTCTCTCCTTCTACAAACATATTAAATATTAATTCTATTTTTGGAATTTTATACATTTAAAAGGTCATTAGGTGCATTTTTCCATTGTTTGAATCTGTAAAAAAAAAAAAATTAAAATGCATCACACACACAAAACACACAATCAAAAGCAAGGGCAAAAAAAAAAACATTAAGTATGAAATTTTGCAGTAGTTCTTGTTAAGATTGGACAAAACATGAACTTTGTTGGTTTGATAGCTAATCTGAGCTATTTTCATTCAACCCTGCCTAAATGGAAGGAAAATTAAACCAGGATAGCACAAAATGTCCCCGAGATCTGTGAAGAATTAGAGAAACAAATGGGGATTTTATCCCCCTTCAAACCCGACAAACTGCTATCCTCTAAAAGGAAAGATAAGCGTTTTAAAATACCTCGTCTCCTTCTTTTGTGGACTTTCTTCCCCGATTTCTCCTCACTCTTCCCATCAAGGTTCCATGGAAATGACCAGTGTGTGTGTGGCGATGTTGGTGTGACAGATCAGTACGCTCAGCTGCACTGGGACGATTTTGCCGGAGAAGTGCTGGACTCTCTTTATAACACGGCTCCCATCTCCATGCACTGCAATCAGTCCACTGCACGCCTCTTTCCTGTGAGTCCCTCATTCATCAAATACACATATATTTACAAGCTACAATGGACTGGTGAGCTACCAATTTAACCAAATCAATGTGGATATCATTTCTGCAGAAGAGTCAGACTCAGTCAGAAATAAACCCACACAAACATCCAAGATGTTGGGATGAGAGTGAGTAAATTGATTGCAAATGGTACGACGACCTTAATCAAGATTTCTGGACAGAAATGCTCTTTCGTCAGAATACTAGATTTAGGAATTCTGGCTTGTAAAAACAGGAGTCAAATTTAAAACCAATTTATTTAAATTATTTTCTTAATGTCACTCTGCAGCTCAGTGACATGGAGCGAAGGCAGCTTTATCAAAGTATGTGGTTAGAAGAGAAATGTTACGGACGGGAATATGTCATGGAAAATATAACTAAAACACCATGCCTCATGGAAAATCTACTAAAGCAGGACCTTATCATTTTAAAAGTCCTTTAATGTCAAGCCCAGCGTGTGGTCTCTTCTCACACTGACGTGTCTCTATAAATTGTTGAACGAATGTGTAAGAAAAAAAAACCCTAAATGAGTCAGCGTTTATACTTGCAGTCATTCTCATTGTTCCTCAGTGATTTCTTTTACAATATGTTTGTTTTTGCTTGCAAAACTTTGTAAGTTGATGCAGCAAGTACAGGCTAGAGTTATTCTAACAAACAACCGGAGGCCGAAGGGCTCGGCCTCAGAGCAGCCTCAAAGCGTTGCACACAGCAACGGGCTGCCTCAGCATGGTGGCATGAATCCTTCACTTAAAACGTTTCAGATCATCAAGCAAACTTTAAATTGAGACAAAGATAACCGTTGTCAAATTAAAAGCGACTCGAGTAAAATGTCTCAAACATATGAATGAATAAGTGCTTGATTTAAATAACCTGAAAAAGAAAATCTAGTTTTACTAACAGTGACGTAACAATAGAGGCAGTTTTACGCTAACTGGTTTTGCCTAATTTGCATTTCCTGAATTGCATTGTTCTTTTGAAGACATTTACACATTTATTGTCCTTGGCAAATTATGTTTACTATAAATGTTTGTGCTTAAATGTGATCAAGACTGCAGAGTTGTTTGTGTTATATAAAGAAGCCGAACGGAAGACCAATGAAGACATATGGAGTATCTGGACATTTGTTGAAAAGAAACAGAAGAAAATGCCTTTGAATAAAACTATTATTAATTTTTCTCCCAGGGTGAATGGGAAAAACAGCCCCTGCCAGAAGTCACCTCCATCCTGCCAAAACATCGCTACCCCTGTGAAGGAGGTGCAGAGTCGTACAGCTGAGCCGGCGCCGCTCCAGTCTGAGCAGAAACATCTGGAGTAGTTTGAGGACAGGGAGCGACCAGCGGACCAACAGGAGATTAAAGAGGATTATTAAATGTGACTTAGTTTGAATCGAGTTTTATCTCTACATTAGCTGATAAATAGCATCCACTGCTTACTGTAATTATATGCCTGTGCAGACACCCACCAGCTGTGTTTATTATTAGTGCATACTAATTAAGCTAATCGCAGTGTTGTTCATGTGTTACATCTAATGAAAAATGACAGTGAGATATTTGACATCAGAGGTCTGTCAATGTAAAAACAAAAACAAAACATAAAAGCTATCCAAAAATTAACAGAAAAAGTTTGTTCCATTTCTCACGATTCTGTTAAATTACAACTAAAGCGTTGCATTTGTCATATAGTTAAATAAATAAATATTGTATGTTACAGTAAAATGTTGGATTACCTTCCAGTCTTTTCCGTATTTGATTGTTCCTATGGAGGTTTTGTTTTTGAAAAGAAAAATGCACAAAGTGCTTTAGGTAAAATCACATTTTATTAATAAAGAAATTCTCTTCAACACAAGTAACAAGTCTAGATTGACATCAATAATTTACTTTGACTGTTTCTCTTTGCATGACTCATTTGTTATTTAAAGTCAGCGCTGACTTTAAATAACGATTAATTAGTAAACATTTTGTGCTTGATGTGCAGCAGCAAGCATCAGAGAGATATACTAGAGTGATGCTAAGCAACTTATAAACCCTTCCAGTGACTAAAGGGCACCTTATGTTTTAAAGGCTCAGTTACAGAGTAAAGAATTTATTACATAAAGAGCACGAAGAGCATGTAATAAAGTAGCATTACTCCTACAACTTTTACTCCATACTCAGTAACTTTATATCGACGATGCGGCTATTTGCCACTTCTGAAGATTCTTGTCTGGCAAAAATAATCTTAATTATGAGGTAATCAAAATGTCAGTGTCACTGAAGCTGTGTTTTTATTATGCTAGCCTGAAACTTCAGCCCTACAATTTAATGACCCCGAATCCTCAACCAGAGATTCTTCAAACACGGTTAAAACTCGGCATTCTGCAGTCGTGAATGTTAGTCAGTCTCCAATTCTCTTATTCTTTGAAATTGAATTAACGTCTAAATTGTAGCAATTAGTTTAACAAACTAAGCCGACGCCACTCACAGAGCAGCAGCCTCCATTCTTTTAACCTTAAAAACTCTGATGCACATTCCTGAAGGGTTATGGCTGTTTTCGTTTCTGTCTTGGAACATTGAAACATAACAGAAATAGATTAAAACCTTGAAATATTCTCTCTTCTGCCCTTTCACATCCATTTCAAAGGATCAGAGTAATATCAAAAACTGAAAGCTTCCATATCGCAGCCATTTTCTTATGTAAATTTCTACTTTGCTCATCTGTTTGTAATTTGACGTAGACTATATAGATGCAGGATGCTAAGTCCAGTTCTCAGACTTACCAGTAAAAAGTTGCAACTTAAGATACAGTAACACTTTGATTTTAGGAGAGCTGAGGTTTAACAATGTTTGAAAAAGTTTTTTTTTTTTTTAAAGTGCACTACTTTTTATTTTTATTTGCCTCTGTGGAGTTTTTTTAACCTGTGGAAAAAGAGCAGAGCTCATAGCCGTTAAGTACTTTTATGAAAACCTAATGGAGCAAAAAGAGCCTTCATGGAATATTGTGACCCCTATCGCGTTAATGTTAAAAAATATTCATGATAAATAGTTAACCTCATAAAAAACATCACTCTACCTCAGCCATTTGGTGGGCATGAAGCGCCAAAGGCACAGTTATAAAACTTTGAAGCCAGAAGCAGGAGGTCACACACAGTCAGTTTGCTAGATGGCTGAATATTTTACCCTTCAGGACGAAGCCTTGATCTCTAGTTGTTGGTGATCAAAAAATATGAAAAAAAAAGAAATATAAAAACAGCTTTGCTCTTAATTTAAGCCAAATTATATTAAATACTCAATTATCGGGGAAGCGGCAGGATCTGATTTACTTTGAGTAAAAACACACACACACACACACACACACACACACACACACACACACACACACACACACACACACACACACACACACACACACACACACACACACACACGCGTATAATCTCTTTTCCGAGCCCTTTTAGGACTTCTTTTGTTAAGGACACTCTCAGTGCTTCACATAAAACTTTACAACACAGACACGTCTATCTATGTTCATGATAATTAATTCTGTTCAACAGCTCAGTGCAAAGTGAGCTGCTACAGGAAGTAAGACTTTCAAAGTTAAAAACTGAGTCTTTAAAGTAATAAATATCTGGACTAATATCCTCTAATGAATTGCTAGTTTGGCAAAAAAAAACAAAAAAAAAACAAAAACGAATTATTCGGGTAAGTTATGTTTGCGTGCTGAGAGGATAGTGAAGTTTATTTAGTTCTAAAAAGACTTTGTCTTGATAAAAAGTCTTGAACTGGTGGAAATTTTATGGTAATAATCGTATAAGAGCACATGTCAAGGAATAGTGGACCTGCTTTGATTTTGAACATTTAAATCATTTAAATGAGCAAATATTGTTAAACTCAATCTCCTTCAACGTCACTTTATCGCTTCACATTTATGAAACACCATCAATGGCAGAGGTATACAAATGTAGTGGCAACTGAATGTGGAAAAGCAGCAGATTGCATATTATTCTCTAACCACATTGGCGCTCACTCGTAGATTCCTTTAACCCGTTTATTTTCAGGGTCGAATGGAGATTTGAGGTGCGCCTTGGCCTTGTACGCCACTCCCATCCTTTCGAGCGTGAACTCTCCGGTTTTAATGAAATCGGCACTGACCTGGTGAAGGAAATAAAAAGATTTAGTTGGTTAAAAAAACAACATGTAAAGGGCTTGAGGAAAGCAGGAATGAAAGAGGGATTTCAAAGGATTCACAACAAACAGAAACGAACAGCTTGGAAGTCCTGAACGCAGAAAGCAATTAAGCCGTTTGTGACTCGGCTGTCAGTTCCCTTGAAACACAGAAAGCTAATTTTCACTGACCAGCTCACATTTCCCTCTCGGCAGCAGCCCTCCCTACTGATCTCCCACTCTGTCTCTCAGTCATTTACACAGTGAAACTAACACAGCTGGCTGCCTCTTACATGAAAACTCTGAGTAACTCCAGGTTTTTATATAGAAACCTTAAATATCACTCGCCTGCAGCAAAGAAAATACCAACGCTTCATTGAAACAAAGATTTCAAGAGTAGCAAATGCATCGTAGCCCTTTAGAGAATATGTTTTTTACTTATCAGCTGGGTCAGATTTATGGTTATCCAGCGAGATCTATTTAGGAAAATACTTAGGTTAATAAATATTTAAGATAACAATTTAGATTTCAAGAAACATTCTCGTATGAAACAGTGATAAAAGGCTTTCTACAAGGTTTCCACATTCATGGTTTATCAATAATTACAACCTTGCTGAGATATTCAGCTTTACTCACTTCTCATTTAGTTCAGTTGAACTGAATGCTGTCCTACATAAGCATTAAATATTTTAAGTTTTTCTTTTAATCAATCAGCTTTGGTCCAAGAGAGATAAAAGAAATAATGTGAAACTAAGGGAGCAAGAGCAATCCCAGAAACCAAGACTGGATAATAAACGGGGAATACAACGTGCAACAAACTCACCACTCCTCCATCAGGGTTGCGGATGTATCCATAACCAAGAGTTTTGTCTATGAAAAAGCCGTAGTCGGCTCGCCGGAGGTGACCAACAGGGACGCCGTTACGGAAAATGGCCTCCAGACCGAACATTGGTATTTTTCTGGTGTAAAAGATAAGAAAAAACAACAATGGCGTTGCAACATACTTCTTTTAGATTTTTGAAAAAAAAAAAAAAAAAAAAAAAAAATATATATAATTATATTAAAAATAATAAAAAAATAAAA